TTTCCATCCGCGGACAATTTTTCCAACATCTTAGGTTGTCGAGAGCCCTGAGGATAGTTGAGGACCGGTGCCAGATGATCCGCTTCGATTCCCCTGTCGAACAGGTGCGGATCTCCCATACTCTTCCGGATCCTCTTCACCTCCTCTTCTTTGGAGGGCTTCCGGTGGGGTGACGTCCCTTCTCCTGAGTAGTGGTCTTGGAGGAGCTGGTGTGCTTCCCGGAATCCCAGAATCGTAGTGACAGGTGAATGTGTCCTGAAAGTCCACATCACGTCTGGAGCGCGGTTGAACCGAGTCGCGCTAAAAAAACGGCTAGCATTGGCCATCTCATGCATTGCGTCTTCCAGCTCTCGTATTCGTAGGCGCATATCCTGTGCCTCGCGCTCCGCACATACCTGTATTCCCTGCAGAGTCTGAAGGGTTTCTAGGATTCGACCTACCAGCTTGCGGTTGCGGTCAACTCCCTCCTTCAGGTACTTTATTTCCCGGAAGGCTTCACTCAAGGATAATTTTTCCTGTGGTTCCTTCCGGGTGCAGGATTCCTGCGACCTGAGATCCGGATTGCTCCGTCTCCTCTCCCTCTCCTCTTGCTCCTGAGTATGGAGGGTCTTGTGGATGAGTTCATCCTCTTCTTGGCGGCTGACTTCACCTTCAGAGTACTCATCTAGGCTGGCGAATGTCCTTGACATATCTGTCAAGAATATTCCCTCCCTATTGATGATTCTCAGGGGATGGTCGTTGTTCTCATCTCCGCTGAGGTTTTTGAACTCGTCACAGACTGTGTCGAGCCACGCTTGTCGGGTGCACCTCCTGCGCCTCGTCACCTCTTTACTGCGCGTGGTCTCTTCTAAATTTGTGACGCTGTACTCTTCTAGCAACCATCTCCCAAGCCTAGCCACCTGCTGGATGACACTTCCATCCTTGCGCAGCTCTAAATCCGCCGAGTAGCGTTCGCGCTGTGCGGAGGTCAGCTGACAACAGAGCCATATTGCCTCCGCACGGGTGTAGGATGCGGTCGAGGTTTGAAATTATCGACCTAATCGACTACTACCGCTTCCTATCACCCAAGGTATAAGCGGGTTGCAGTCTCCGCAAATTATCTATTAATATTATAAAAATATCCTACCTAAGGTCGGAGCCTGCTGTTTGCTTGCTCCGCCTGGCTAATATTTTCTGGACTGCATGCTTGGGTCTCGCTCTCTGTCTTTATCGTCGTTCAGGTGCTTCCAACCCCCCTTTATCCACAAAACTGTGGCTGAAATAGGTTAACACCTGATTACTCCGAACGACCTGAAACCACTTCGACCTACTAATAATTATCGCTTTCGGCCTTTTTTACAATCAACTTAGCAATTTATAAACAAAAAGTTCGAAGTGATTTCGTTTTTTCCCCAGCAGAGAGCGTACCGCTCACGATCTCGCGCTACCATCCTCTCAAACTTTCCTAAGCACTCGCGCAATTGTCTCTCTCTCTCGTGCGTCGATTACCTTCGACGCACAATCCTATTCGCAGGAAACGGGTCTTAATACTAGTTGGGCGCCATGTAACGGGGGAGGTTATCTGAAAAATGGAAAATTCATTTAAGAACACACTCCCACGATGCAGAGCAAACCACCGCTCCGTTAAACACGTATGATTGTACGTGTATTCGCCTTTACGTCAGATGATTTTGCTTAATTGTCTTCTATTGAACGGAGTTAAACTCACCCCAAGTCACGTGCCTTGTGACACTCGATGAACTTTAATTGTGAGCGACTTTACGCCTAATCCGCTAAATCCCGTAGATGTAATCGGATTAAAACCTAAGCCTTTTACAATTACTTAAGCTAATGGGAAAATTAAATGACGTAATTAACGAATAAATTCAACTGACTTTAATTAATAAAAAATCACTGCAGTCTTTGTTGGGCCGAAAGACTAACGCACACGAATAGGATTTTTCAATGAATAATGTTCGGAGAGAGAGAGAGAGAGAGAGAGGGAAAATTCGAATTTTACCGCGAACTAACGCTCGGCGCGAATACAAAAAAAAATATCGCTATTATGATTGACAAAATAATAAATGTATTTTGTCACGCGATAATAAAAGGAAGTGCACCTACCCTGCGGTGCAATTACGGTGATCAGCCGTAATTGTTGATGATGATGAATCGACTGCCGCTGCCCTCCTAATTATCAGCTGCGCTGCCTCACTCTTCCTCTAATATGCTGCAATCTGCTGTTTCTGTGCTGCTGCTTGCTGCAATGACTTTGTTGCACCCACGCATGTAATACTGTCCTAAGAAAACTTAAATATTCGGCGAAAACAAAGTGCAAAACCAAATCGGCGGTAAAGTCGCGTGAACAGCTGAGGCGTAACTGCTTATTCAAAAGATCGCGCGACCCTCTCTCTTTTAATTGTTCGAAGTAACGCGCGAGAAGCAGAATCGCGAACGGATCGATTAATTGAATTGACTACCGTTGCAAACTCTAAAACTATTTTTAAACCAGACTTTTCAAAAATAAAGAGTCTAATAAAATATTTACGAAGAGAAATTCACACAAATCGTCCAATACATAACAATTTAAAAGATTTTTTTAATTAAATAAATATTTTTCCGCGATTAGCTCTCGGTATGTCACTCTCTCCCCATGATAAGTCATATATATATATGTATAATACATTAAGCTACTAGCATAGGTGAGAACAGCGGAATAGGAGAGGCAGCTGATCACCGTAATTTGCGTGAGAGGGAAGGAGAGAGAGATAACTAACAAGTCGCGACGCGCGTAAGGGCCGTGCGCTGTTGGCTTTCCGCTGCTCGTATAGGCGTCACCGCGGGAGAGGGACAGAATAGATTTAACCACGCGCTTACACACGCATTCTTGAGTAAATTGTGCCACCCTTCCTGCGTGATCATCGCTTTGCTGCGTTTACGCTTTCCGAGCGCCATCAACGAAGAAAAAGCCGTTCGTCGTCTCAGCTTAGTTATTCATCCCCTCTTCTTCCTTCGTGACTGTGAACTCTACAGTGACTGAGACTGTGGCTATCTTCATGCACGCGTGCTGATATTAGTGCACAATGAGTGTGCAATTTTTATTTTGTTGGGCGCATTGAGCTCGTCTGCAACGCATGCCGCTGCCGAAGCGTGCCTTTTCTATAACCCATGAGCGAGGGCCAGGAAGCTACGGCCTACAACTGTAAGTACCTGCGAGTTCTTTCTTTCTCTCCCGGCTTGCTACTTTCTCTCTCTCTCTCTCTCTCTCTATCTCTCTCTCTCCCACGTTACGGTGCTAGTTTGTGCTTCTTCGAAACGCTGCTTTATTTTCATTACATGCATTTGTGTGCTATTGTAAATTATTCATCTTTTACGTTATTATACGATTTGTTTTATGATAACCGCTTGCTTCTTTTGAATCCTATCCTTTCTCGCTTCCTCAACGCCCGTTGTGACTGCGCATTGCGTTCTTTCACATTTTCAGCGCAGGTGAGCTGTACTACGCTCTCCACGGGCCTAGGAACTAAACCGATCCCACGACGGTATAACTGTGCTACCTGGATATCGCTTCTTAATTCATCAACTTTTAATTCTTCTCGTTATTTTCTAATGATGTTTCGCATTAAGCCGCCATATTAAATACTGCCATGTTAAATTCAAAAAACTCTATAGGGGATTTTAAAGGTTATGGTCCATGGACGTAAAAAACAACAAATTGAAGAAATCAAAAAGTGCATTCGGTATGATAACATAAAAAAAAAATTTTTGTTCCAAAATTGTTTTTTCTTAAATAAACAATATCATTTTTTTCAAATGCATTTTTTTTTCTATTCTGGTTAACCAATCGAAAGTTTATATAATTTTACATCGAAAATAATTTATTACAATTTTTTTTATAGTAGTTTTCATGTAAAATAATGCCGTTAAAGAAAATATAAAGAAAAGTGTCCTGTTCGTCCTTAATAGGTTAAATTAATAGGTTAATAGGTTAATAGGTTATCGCAAAAAACGTATGTATTGCACTTTTAGATTAGGATTACTTCAAATTTTATTATGATGGAGCAATTCTGAGGACACTTTCAGATTCTACATAAAACATTACTTTGGACCTTTCATTACTTAGAAACAAAATGCAGACCTGTGTAAATTAAAGAACAAGGAAACAGATACAAACGTGGGACGACTTAAATATAACAATTTATATGTATACAACTCATCAATTGAGTGATTTAATCTCTTCCAATAGTAATCATGATTAATTGGTTTCTTATAGAATTTATTTTTACTTCGTGTAGTAGTTAAATGGTTAGAGTTTATCTAGCCGAACTCTTAGTTACTTTGTTTAGTCTTTAACGACATGAACTTCTCTTTAAATATTACAACTTTATGTGGAATATAATTTCCTCATCAGGTTACGACTACTACGTTTCATTCTTGTCACGTTAATTGCAGAGTTTCGTTAACACAAACAACTAATTTTTAACTGAAATTGAATTTCATATTGTACGAAATAACATTTTGAACCTCATAACAAGAATTACGAAATACAATCCATAGGAATAATTGCATTATTGTTGTATCACGCTATTGCACCAGGAAATTTTTTATTTTAGTACGCGATTGTGAATATGTATCATATGGTCTTTGTAGGTTGTATTCAATGAATATTAGACATTAAAATATACAATTAAATGTAAAATTTTTAATTTATCAATTACATGACAGGTTAAAAGCATGAACATAATACAAAAATTGACTGAAACCTTTCTCAATCAGGTAAATTTCATCAGGTCTGTCAAATATGTAGTTTATGTAATAAGCTGGTATAAAAGTATTTATTATATAACTAGAATTGATTGATTTTAGTGAAATAAAACAATATATTAGACTAATATTAATTGAAATCATTAAACGTATAATGGGAAGTTAACTGCAAATGAAAGGACAATGCTTTTTTCACTTATGTAGTTCTTGTAGCCATCTGCAGACACGATTTATTAAACAAAATTTAATCATTCTAGAGCACTTGCAAGCATGAATTTACCAGCGGCAATTGAAGACATTAATGGGACTGAGATACCTCAGTCATTAATTGATAAAGCTGGATATATTAGAGATGCAGGTGGAATTAAAGCATTGGAAAATATTATGAATGAGCTTCCGGAGCTATTACAGAGAAATAAAGATATTCTAGATGAGGTAAGATGTGTTCAGTACTTTCCAAGAGATTGTAACATAAATGAAAATTTTAAACATTTATATTTTTAGAACTTCCAATTATAAGTTATAATACTTAATAGATAAATGATTGGAAATTCAATTTACACATTTAAGAGTTTTAACACGCATGAATCAAATTATATTTCATCTTGTATTATATAGAAGATCTGATTTATTCTTCAAAATATATTCATGGAATACTATGATTAAGAAGATTTTCTGAAGACACTTTTTTTCTTTTAAATATTTAGTTGCGACTCATACCATTTAATTAATATATTATTTAAAGAGGGTAAACTGAAGTTTAATATTATTTTAACCTGTTAACCGGGGAAATGCCTTTCTAATTACGCAATATATAACGGGCGCGTCCTTTTCTACTAAGACGTGTATGAATGACGTATTACCATAGTAGTAGTAAAATACATGTCCCGCCCGTTCCAGGGCGCAATATAAATATCAAGGACGTATTCATATGTCCTACCCGTACTTATTGTTGTTTATTTTGGACGTATTTGTACATCCCGCTCGATTAACAGGTTAATACTTGAACATGGTCTTCGAAGAGTTTTCAAATTTTTTAGATAATATCATCGAATATATAGCGCTGGTAACTTAATGACTTAATACCCCGTCTCTACATGGTATCCGGTAATTTCGTACTTTACTCTGCGACCTATAATTGGGAGCTCATAGAGGGGTTTGTCACGTTCATGTCTTGGTTCCCGTCCTAGATAACTCCTGTACGTAGACAACCCGATACATTACAAACTCTAACTATTCTTATATAGCGTCACAATAAGCTATATAGATATAGTATTTCCCTATTTTTCTTGAAAAACAATGTAATTAACTAACTTTCAAAGGAGTCGTCAGACATATTTGTAAAATAAGACTTCCAATTTATGAATATGTGTTATTTTACATAAATTATCTATTTATTGGTTTTTCAATTGCAAACATTTATTTTTTCTTTATGAGCAAATAACAATAATTGTGATGAAATAAATATCACGGAAAGAAATTATGCGATTTAATATACATTTTCACAGGAAGTTGAGTTAAAGTTAATTAATAACTTTAAGTTATTAATAAATAAAAAATCAATAATTTAATTGAACAAAACTAATTTTATATAATGATAAGTGATTATCATAAATAGGTAAACAAAATCTGAATTAAGTTCAAAGGTTGCGCCAAAGCCGAGATATCGCAATTCGTTAATAAACTGAAAAGTAAAAAAACTCCATAATTCATAAACAGTAGCAGTTTTTTACATTCTGGTTTGACAAATGGTTTCATTTAATTATAAACTACGAGTAAATATAATTTTCTACCACAATTACAGTTTATTAACTCTAGATATCATTATTTATAATTTTAAACCAATAATAAAATAAACCAACATTGTAAAAAAATAATCTCTACTCATACAAAATGAAAGCGTAATCAAAAATGTATTTTAATAAAAAAAGCGGGGCCCTAATGTAAATATTCAATATTTTATAGCTCAATTTGTAAAATCATAAAATTAAAGAGAGCGTAAAAAGGACGTTCGAGTATAAGAGGTTCCAGCGGGAAAGGGTATAAAAGGAGGAGCTCGTGATACTGGAATCACTCTAGCTCTGGCTATAGTCCAGTAACATTGAGGTAACGTTGTGCTTAATAAATCAGCTTAAATAACTGATCGTTGAATTCAATGTTTTGCTCCCCACTGAAATTCCTCTCCTACCTTCCTACCTTACCTCCCTGTGAATCGTTTCTGTGAGCTTTCCGTCCCATAGGTACTTGACAGCAGTGCAATATCTCTCTTCTAAAATTTTCTTAGTTCTCCATTAAAAAAAGCATGATAACCGTGATAGAGATCTCTACAGCGCCACGAAACATCTTGGCGCCCCGTCTCGAATGCGTTGATGGTGCAGCGAGCATCTATCTACGGAATTGTTACTCAAATTATTGTAAGATTTAGTTTCTGTGAAACTAACGCTTTTCAGGTGGATGAATTCACTTTTTCTCATAATATTAAAGACATACTTTAACTCAGCTATCTATTCAATCATACGCGAGATTCAAACCGAAAGAAAAAGTTGTACTTTGTAATAAAGAACAAAATTGCAATGCTACAATTTGATATTATATTACAATATCTATCACTTTATAGATACTGTCTCGATGTTTGGATAATCACACTAGAACCAAGATATTGTTTTTAGGAAGTTTCCGTTTTGTGTGTGTACGTAGTCAAAGCTAATCCATGGTTATCCAATCATCTACTTATCGGGATCAATATATCTTCAAGATATTCATCTCCTCAATTATTTTTGTCGTTAATACCAAAGTAACATCGTTTGCAAAGGCTATCATTTAGAACCCTTCAGGAACTTGCTGTCTTAGCAACTCTTCATATTCGACATGCTACAGAAGGAACCCAAAGACCAAACTCTTCTTCTGTAATGTAGTAGGAGTCTTTGCCATCGTAATGCTGTATTCGGTTGTAACTCGTTTCGTTTCTTAACTCGGTTTGCGATTCGCGCTCCAAGTTAATAGACCAAAATAACGTCGCACTACTAATTATTTATAAAAGAGGAAGTACAAAAGGTACATTTTCTTCGCCGCGGAAGGCGTCGATGGGCTTTCGTCGTTCGGCTGTTCGAATACTACAATTAAAAGACAGGAAAGACGCAGGTATAATTCAAATCATTTACCGTTAACAGCCTTTATTTATTAATCTTACAAGGCTAGATGCGACTTCGCATCAGAAAGAAGGCCGTGCATGCCTGTTTCCCTGTGAGTGAACGCAGTGGAGACAAAGCTTCGCCTCACACTCACTCGTCCTGTTGTCCAGCAGATGCGGTGCGGGTTAACGCACGCACCTATCTATCTACGTCCTAATGATTTATCCGAGAGAGAAAGAAAGAAAACCGAGGGGCACACTAATACAAAAAAGTATCTGATCTAAGGAAAGGGGCGCTGTCAAGAACCCGGCGATCAGCTTCAGCCCGTATCCCTCTGCCGTTCCTCAACGTCCCTCTCGCTGTGACTGCTCGTCCTCTCGGACTTTTAGGAGAGTTCAGGAAGGGCTGGTTGTCTCTCGTAGTCGTCTCGCTGCTTTCGTCGCCAAAGAAAGGTCGATGAATGCCTTGATCACTCTCTCTCGATTTTCACTTCTTCCTATCGCTCACGACTCTAGCCTGGCCAGTAGTACCCGCTCTCTCTCATTTATCGCGGCATTCCCGCCCCTTCCCTCAGTATCCAAAATCGGCCGAGCGCCGCCAGCTACACACACGTGTGAGTCACGCCGGCGACACTATTTCTCTCTCTCTCTCTCTCTCTCTCTATCTATCTCTCTCTCTCCTTTTCCACACGGCTCCAACCACCTACGTTGATCAGGAACTAAACCAAAAACAAAGCTTCATCGAGTGTCGATACTTGGTCCGAATAAGCAAGACATCTATATGGTAGAGGCGAAGGGAAGGGCACGCGGAAGAGAGAGAGGCAAACAGGGCGAGCAATCTCAAAGATTGCCTCACCCGTCACACAGTCTAATAGATAATGTGAGATCACTCGACATAGATAGAACAGCAGATTTAGAACTTTTAAAGACTGTTCGATATTCACTTATCTAACTGAATTGAAAGTGTTCTGTATATCCAAGGCGAAGATCGTATACATGCAGTTCGCACTTTATTTCCTGTTAATAGGTCAGTAGTTAGTTCAATTGCTCGATAAATGGTTTCGATGGTTAAGCGGCTTTTTCTAAAACCATACTAATTCTTTGATATATCGTGGTTCATACAATTGCTGCTTGAAACCTGTCGTATATCACTCGCTCGAGTAGTTTTTCTATCATGTCTAGAATGCAGAGCGGCTGATAGAATGATAGCTCATTCGGAGTCTTGTTTTCCTTATCATTTCTGCACTTTCCGTTTAGTTGGCAAATGCCCTTCTGTATCTATATCACTATGAGTATGTATACGCGCATTCATGCGTGTGCGTTAATCAACAAGAATTATAATTACAATAATTCTTTCTATTACTCATAGATAATGTCTTATCCTTCTATTACTAATTTGAATTATTTTCATTATTTTTCAACATTGCTACTGCCGATTGTAACTTCGATGATAATTTTTTTTCCTATGGAATACGTTAGTCGTATTATATCAATGTATAGAATAATTTTAATATAGGCAGTCTTAGTTGTAATTTTTCATCTTTAAATTGTGTGTTTTTTCCTCTTTTCTGGCATTACGGAAATTTACACCTGTGCGCGTATTGAATATTGGGGATTGATTCTATCTTAGAATGCATAGCACTCCGAAGTAAATCTTAAATTTTTTTTTACAATGTAGAAAACATTCATTCATTAAAAAACATAGTAAACCCTCTAAATAAAGATAGCTGTACATTAAAAGTGCTGGAGCAAAGTAAAATAAAATTAGAACCAACAACGTTAAAAAAATATTTACCAATAGATAGTGCATTAAAAAAAGTTAATACATAATTTTATGTGTATCGATGTAAGGAAGGTAAGGGATTTAAAGTAATATTGAGAAGTATGCAATCTCTAACCGACATCTTTGAGTTAAGAATCACCATTGAGGATCATGGACAGAAGATGATAACCGTCTGTAACATTCGGCATTGTTTGACAAAGATAACGCTACTACTATTTACTATAGGAATAGAACACGATTAAAAAAGTCAAGACATATAGATGAATAGAACAGATTATCAAATACTGTAATTAAGTTTGAAATACCGAATATTCAAATAGTCATTTTCAATGTCATGACTGTTAAGATTACGGGCATGTGAAAAAATTACTGTTACAAACAAGTAAATGAAGAGGCTCCGAACAGAGAAAAAAATTTAAGAAGTATATAAATTTAAATATAAATACGAACGAAACAGGCAAGATAAAAGAGAATTAAAACAAATAAATACACGGACAGAACCATAAAAAAATAACTAAAATG